GCAGGGTTAACATCTCAGCCAGTGGATTTATTTGCAAGCAAGAAAAGGCTGAAAGTTAATTCCATAACATTTTCTGGGCCGGTTGATTCCCAAGAGCTGGAAAAACACGGCTTACCTTAAAAACATCTTGCAAGCTCTGCAATTGGTCGTCTTCTCGAACGTGTACATCTGGAAGTTGTGGTGATTTGCATTGGCTTTCTCTGGCTTAATATTGGACCTGGTTCAAGAGTGGGAGAGGTGAGGGGAAGGTGTGGAATAGGTCAAACCATTATTGTCAGACATTTGGAAGTGCCGCATTTCTTTTAGCAGCTCACCCACAATGGCTGGGATCGGGTGCAAGAGTGAAAAGTTTTGAAGTCACGTGTGGGTGTGCATTAAATTATTTGCAATACATTTATGCATAACCCTGTTTCTCTCTCCGGGCCGGAGTCGCTCAGTACCTAGGATTCCCTCTGTGCAGAGGGCCAGCGTGAGGTTGGCTTCACCTGCATTCCCAAGGGAGGTCTTACCCAGGATGTAAGGACTTAGTGCCAGTTCTCTGCACAGATTAGGGCTTGATTTTGATGGCTTGATCAAATAACAACTTAGTGTTTCTCATCACGTTTCCTCCCAAAGACTATGGGCAAAATGTACCCTTTAACCCCTTCAATGGAGGACAAGGAGCTGCGACTCAGGATCTGTTACCTCTGCATGCTCCTTTAGGGATACCCACATCACGGTAACCCCGAATCAAACAGGGCTGAAGTTCCAGCGGTTTTGCTACGCTTGTACCTCTATGTCCTAAGAGCTTGTATCGATTGCCTTTCTTATTGATGTAGCTGTGAATCTCCATCCCTGGAAGTTTTCAAAATCAGGTTGAACAGAAACTTGGCTGGGATGTTTTAGTCAGAGATGATGCTGCCTTGAGTAGAGGGCTGGACTAGATCTTGTGAGGCTCCTTCCAGCCCTACTTTCCTATGACCCTAATTGCTACATCTGTCTATACCGGAGCAGCCACTTCCACGTTTACCCAGGCACATGCACTTTTTGCATGAAGTTTGGTAGCTGATATCGCTCTGGCCACAAATACTGGAAGTCCCGTCGAGCATGGAGCTCCCACAGAAGTCAGCAAGAGGTGCCATGCTCTGGTGGGAGGTGTCCCAAATCTGAGCCCTACCATGAAGAGCTAGCAATCAGCTGGGCCCAGACGCATTTTGGCAATGGCAATTATGCTCAAGCAGACCTCAACTTTGCAGGAAAGACTCAAGCACTCACATGGCCATTTCAAACTGCTCCACCCACTTCCTCTTCATCTCTTCTGTCTTGCAGAAGAACTGGAAACCCTGCTTCCCTTGAAGGTGAGTTAGGTAGAACCCGTACGACCACTGCAACAGGAAACAAGAGAACGGATCAGACGCGGTTCCTCCTCCCTGGATACCTTGTACTGAATGCTTAAGGAACAAAGCCTTGGGGTTTGGGCTTGGGCCTCTGCTTTACCTTCCTCCCTTTGGTCACCTCTCCAATTAGGTCTCTGGAAAGAGTAACGCGGGAGTAGTGAAAAGATGGACTTTGTATTTCTAATGACCATTGCAACACATGACTTGAGGGTTAACTCTATGCTGCACACCAAGGCCAACTGGAGCGTTTTGGTACCAGAAGGGAGAGATCAGGTCCCTGGTACTAAAGCTAAAGGAGATTCTCTATTCGCAGTCACCCAGAAAGGACCTTTTCCCCGTGAAGGGCAGTGACATATATGCATGCAAGCTGGGTCATTACAACATTAACAGAAAATAAAGCAGGTCTTGTGGTTTGCTTACCATTTTTCCATGAGACTAGAAAGCATGAGAGAGCAAAGTGGAAACATAGTTCATTAAAACACAATGCTACCAGTATCTCTTCAGCATCCTAGCAGCAAAGCCACCAATTCTTTCCCAAATGGGATACAAGTTCCTGGCCACTTTCTTGCTTGTGATGCCTGTTAGTTAAGTCCAAGGGTGGATGGAGTTGCTAAACTATGTTGTCATCCCCTAATTTTTCTACTTGGGAGGCCCTCGACTCAAGTCAAAACCAAGCAGTGTACATATGTATCTGCAAGTGAGGGAACAGTTTCTGAAGAGCATTCCCAATGCAAGAAATGCTGCAGACCCACATTAGAAACCTGCAATGCCAAAAAATGAGGTGCTGCTTCTGCAGCTTCAACTATCATCTACTGAGGAGCAGGTCCAAGAAGTTACAAAGGTCCCACTAGACACATGCTCCCAACAGCTTTGACTATTTTCAAGACAGCCCCATTTTAATGGTGTGATGGACACCACCAGTGCGATGAACTGCTCTTAGTTGTGCGCTCCCCCTGCCCTCCCAGAAGTCACCAGAGGTTCATTTCCCATTAGCTAGTCTGAAAACCAGAGAATGATAAACCTCTGATCTCATAACATCACCACCGTGGTGCATTTAATGGTGTAACAGCTGCCACGTTTGCTATCGCCCATCACACCATCGTGCATATGCCCTAACCCTTTTTCTTCTATCCTGTTTTGGGGGCTGCTTATTTATTCCTCTTCTGTCCAAATTATGCTCTCTAAAGGTGTCTTCTCTACTGCCGGAGTAACTTCATCCATTTTAATCAACTCATTCTAACTTCTTGAGGGTTTGCAGACTCTGGGATCAAGGGACCAGGCTCAATCTCCATTACCAAGCATTTTCAATCTCTGAAGGCTGCCTTAAAATAAAAAGACTTATTGTCTGCTGTTTGTGGGCAACTGAGGGGGGAAAGGGATGCCCAAGGGTCCCAGCCTGAATGGTTAAGAAAAGCTAGTCAGCAGGACTAAGAGGGCTTTTTCTGCCTACCTTTTTAATGTCCTTGTTGTTCATGGGATCGTCGGTCATCTTATGGAAGAACAGCTCAATAATTTCCTTCAGCTCATAATTGTAGCCTTTTCTTTTGCAGACGATTACGACTTTATCAAATAAAAATAAATACCTGCCAACAAAACCCAAATCCAACACCTAATTATACACACCTTTCCGAGAAGGCATCGAGAAAGCTCTGCGGAGGCTACCCCTGGCCAGAGCTGCTAAACATTCCTAACAGCATAATCATTTAATGCTAAGGCACTTTGTGTCAATGTGACTCTAGATAATGCCCTAGCAAATGAGGACAAAATGTCTAGAAATGTGGGGCCAAGTGTCCCTTTGGTGTCATTCAGTTCAGGTTACAATAGAAAATGTAGCCCATGGATCACACTAATGGAAGTTCTTTAGTGGCGAGGGAGGAACACGGTGAAAACCAAATCAAAGGTTAAATTTTGCTTGGGAAAATTTCTTTGGGGGAACAATTCTTCTTCTAAGGAAAAGTTCTGACTTTTGCTTAGATGGCTCTCAAAGGAAAGGTAAGGCTTTTAAAGGTTTCTCCTATCTATGCAAGCCAGGCATTCAACAGACATCTCAGCTTTGCTTCCTGAATGACTGTGATCCAGAACACTAGCCAGATGCTTTGTATTTCAGGCTCAGATACCCCCTAGGAAAGAGAGCACACTGCAAAGGGAAAAGCCCACCACCTCTCTTTGAACTGCTGGCTAGATCAACCTAGCAAAGAGAATCTCCTCCATAGACAAAAGGATCATTTTACTCCACAGAAAAAGGGAACACTTTTCCTCTGAGTGCAAGCGATGCAGGACTCAGTCAGTTTAAATCACTGTTAACTTCAGTTTCCAAAACTGTACATGTTGGCACTGAACCTAAAATGGAGCATGGAACATTTTTATTTGCAAAGCCCCAGAGTGCTTTAGGTCTACAAACCTATTCTCCAACCATTTGGGTTGGTCTAATAAAAGATATCAAATTCACCCAAGGAACCTTGTTTGCAAAATATAACCCTGGCACTTCACCGTGCAAGAAGCCCGTGGACTCTACAATTCCAATTATTTTATACTTCCATATCCGACCTGGAAGCACTACTTCCAGGCATCTGGAGAGATGCGACTGGGGCCTACATTAAAACGCATGAAGTGAGCACCCCCCTCACTTCGGAGCGTGGTATTCACCATCCAAATCGGATTTCAGACCTAGGGTTTGCAGCTTGCCTATAACTTCCTCATCATGGTCCACTTAGTTTCCAATACTGATTGGAGGTCAGCAGCTGAAAGTCGCGCCGATGGCAGCTCTCAGAACTAACAGCACCACAAATAGCAAATAGGATATCTAGGCTTTTAACACTTTTTGTGCTTTTACAAGTTATTTTGGTCTCTTACTGTAAGCAGCCCTGAGCCTTTGTTGGGAAGGGCGGCATAAAAAAACTAATGTATAAATACAATAGTAAGACCACCATCCAGTTACACTGGAGTCCATCCGGGTGCGTGCAAGAAGGGGGACCTCAGGGTTTTTGGTGCATTTTGCTATTTAATCCCTCCTTCAGCCACTCACCTGTCCTGCTTCGTGTGGTTTACTATTGAACGCACTTTCAGTTCACCGTCTATCTTCGGCCTCCCGAATTCTTCCAGTTTCACTTGCTGTGGAGAGCAAAATCCAGCTTAGATGTCACAGCAAGGAGAGGTTTGAAACGTTGAAAGGCTCTGAACTGAAAAGACGTCAGAGCGCTCCTTTCATAAAAATAAACGAGATATTTCCCTAAGAAAACAAAGAACAAAGACCTTCCCTACTGAAGCCCGACTGAGATCTGAAAACAGGCACGCAGCAACATCGTTTGGGTCCAAATCTGTAAAATAACTGTACAAAAGCACACCATTGTGGGAACGATGCTGGTTCTGATGAACCTCCTCACAATAGGAGAATATTCCCAGGTCCCAGTAAGAAAAGGAGGCCCTTTCTTGAAAAATGATATCCTAGGCCACTTCCAACGTAGTTTGCACTGAGCAGCATAGATTCATATAACCAGCATCACCTAAAGCAATGCTGAATTCCAGGTGGATCACTAGCACCATCGAGAAGGGTCTATGCCAGTTGTGTCAGGATCCAGATTTAGAGGAGATTAGTTACTGCTGGACTCGGATGACCAACCAAGGCAATGTTTTGTGTGCAAGGTCTAGCAATCCCATCCCTCTTGCAAGATGCCAGCTCAGGAGGGAAGAAATCTCATGAGATGAGCTTCTTTCCCAACATTTTCTACGAAGAGTGAAACAAGAATACTAGACCCCTTCTGGCTTTGGCTGCTCCAAAATCAGAAATTTGGAAGAGACTGGGGTCTAAAATTCTTGTCTGGGCCTTTGTTAGGCCACAAAACTCGCAAACAAAATGCTCCCCAGCGTTGTATTATTGAGTGGTATTAATAGCTCCACCTACACAGTGCTCTTTTTTTTACTGTTTTGGATATAAAACAAATTCTTGAATCAAGTGTCACTGTTGATGAGAAATATAAATATTGCAAACAGCTGTGTGTATAATCTGTCATTACTGCATGGCTGCCCTTTACGGGTTCTTATGCATAATAAGAATAAATCCACAACTTCCAGTGCGGAGAAATGAAATTAAGCACAAAGCAGAACGTGCGTGGGATTGATTTGAAGAAAGGAATGACGGCTTTGCTAACATTTCATCTTCCACATGTCATACCAGCTCTCCGACTGCAGCGGGGAAAAGCAGATGCTTAAAACTCCCATTTGAATTCCAAATGTTATAGAACGTGGTGTTTAATTGTTTGTACAGATCAGGGTTTATTGTAATGGGGTCTATCAAAATCTATGAGCCGGAAAAGCTCACATCCCACTGATTTTTCTCAGGCTTCTCCTGAAAAGGAAGGATGCTGTCCCAGCTGTCAAATACTCATCTAAGAGAGACAGCTCTGTCCTGAAACGGACTTGGGGTAAAACAGCATCACATAAGCTCCTGCGTGCTTTCAGGAACCATTGGCCTCAAATGCACCTCGCTGCATCAGGTCTGCAGAAGGCATCTCGGAGGGTTTTAAAAAAATCAGATCTGATTGCATTTGGTCCTTGTTTTTGGAGTGACATACTTCACAATACATTAGCCCTTTCCCATGATTTCGTGATGTTTATTCATCTGCTCCATTACCTTTACAGTACAATAACATATTTTAAATAGCAGCCAGATGTGAGTTTTTTCTGAGAAAAAAATCAGATGCCTAATATTAGTGGCATAAGGATAGAAAGTATGGGAAAGTTAATGGGAAAAATGATATCAGAGATGAAGTAGGTGTTACAATGTGTAAGTGCCATTTTTGAAATGTGAACAAAATAAATCCGGAGATAGTGACAAGAGGCTGACCAAGCCAAAATGAGTCTTTCATAGATAACAAACAGAGGGTACAAGTAAGATTTATTAAGGGAGCAGGGGGGCTAGATCCGAGGATCTGACGAGGACCCTTCTAGCCCTAAACTTCTGTGAATCTGTGTATGGAAAGTTTATGTATATTAATAAAGTTAAAATAGAAAGAAGGAAAAGAGGCAGAAATAAATCAAACTTACCAAGTTTTCTATAGAGCTCTGAAATTCACTTATTTTCTTTAAGGTTTCTTTGTCTCTCTTGACTTCATTTATGTACATGGCCAAGTCCTGAATGGAAAAAACAAATGTTAATTCAGTTTTCCTTGTTCCCTCCTAATCAAGAATCCTTGTTAAACACGTGATAAAATACCAGTGGCCACTACGCCAAGCAAAGCTATCAGGCACACTGAAGGAACGTGAGCAAAAAGCAGCACTTTCTGAACGGAGGCTTTGTCAAGGGGAAAAATCAATTGGAAACTCAGAATGAGTTCAGAATATTTCTGCTGGATTGAAAACCATAATCCATTGATCGACAAGCTTCTTTGGGTGAATATGATATCTTTTATTAGACCAGCTTCAAGTTTGCCAATACTTTTTTTTCCCAACTATCAGTTAGTCTAATAAAAGATACTGGATTTACCCAAAGAACCTTGTCTGCCTATGTCCTTAGACCAACATGGCTACAACCTATATCCCTATAATCCACCGATTAAACACAAGCACATGGCTTACATAAGCATGCCTGGGATCACTCCCCATACTGTACTCTGCTGCCTACTATAGCATTAAACCTGTCTGAAAGGTATTGGTGTGAAACACTCTCCCACCCTTTCCCCTCGTGCCCTTCTTGGGCAAGTTACTTATTCAACCAGACAGGTGCTGTAATTCTGCTGATGAACAGGAGAGGGCAGCAAGCTGAACTAGCATTAGAAGCACAGGGAAGATTTAGGGGATATCGGTTGTAGCCGTGTTGTTCTAAGGCAGGGGTGGGCAAATATGGCCCGGGGGGCCAGATCTGGCCTGCCAAGCCATTCTATCCGGCTCGTGGGGCCCCTAAAAAATTTAGAAAATGTAATATCTATTTGCTCCTGCTGCCTGTCAAAGATGACAGGCAGCCAGGACCCAGGGGAAGCCAGCAGTAGGACCCAGCAGCAAGGCCCACCCAGCCCTGCCCCCCCAAACAGAAGTCCCTGCCTAGCAAAGGCTTCTGGCCTGGGACTGTGAGGCTGTTCCTGCTTCCCTGAGCTGGAGAGGGAAATGCGGCCCTCGACAGCTTGCCAAAACTTGGTAAGTGACCCTCTGCCCAAAATAACTGCCCACCCCTGGTCTAAGGACATAGGAAGACAAGGCTCTTTGGGTAAATGTGATATCTTTTATTAGATCAGCTAAAGGAAGTTTTAGGAACTACAACACTGCAGGACATGCCACTTTCATGTAATCCTCTGTAGCCAAGGCACCCTTTGAGATGCCTTCTGAATAGTTAAGGTCCTTTGTATCCCCTCCTTGCTCCCTTCATTGCCCTCTATCTTTTACCCCACCGGCTTTCTGCACCTGGAATGTCCTTCATTTCCATCCTACTACAAAAGGCACAAACCAATTAATGATCTTAATCAATATACTTCTGCCACATCCCCTGTCAATACATTAACCCAGTAGACAGTAACCCTGGAAGTCTGCCTTGTCCACATACTTGCTTCTAAGGGGCCCAGACCCCTTTTGGTACCATGGCCCCCCTCCAGAAAACCACAAAACATTTGCTAGTCCCATTTATTTCCACACAATTTACTTATTCAGGGTTGTCATGGAGTGGGGCCTATCGAAGCAGCAACTTTTGAATGCTGAAGTCCTTTGAAAGGTAAAAAAAACAGCATGCAGAAAAACTGTAGAAACGCCTGAATTTACAGCACCTGCCATGGAGATGCACAAGCCTCACAAAGCTCAGCTACACAAAGTTGGATTTCATTAAAAAGATGCTTCCCAGAAGAGGAAAACCCTAGAGGATTTCCTACATTTCTGTAGG